TTGATCTCTAGCTTTGTCTTAACTTGATCCTTAGGTAATTAGAGCCTAACCAATTTGTAATTAATCTTGAAAATCTTAAAAACTCCCAAGAGGGTTCTAAACACTTGTTGATCCATCCTTAGGTCATTTATGACCTTTGGAATTGATCTCAAGATATTTAGGGCTCATTTGGGTTCAAATCCTTAAGTAGACTCTTTAGCCGTGGTAATTTGATAATCCCTATGAGTGTGCAAAATTTCTAAAATTCACTCTTAACTATAAGAAATTTTGATTAATCAACTTAGTGGATAGTGGCTTCAATTAGAATTCATCATCTCCTAGAGACATTAGACCTCTACAATTTAGCTAAAATTAAGTACCCAACATCTTAGGTGACCTTAGGTCAGAACGGGCCAGAACTTCTAAAAATCATAAATTTTGATAGAAAACTCCAAATTGAGTGTGCCACCTACCTAATAACTCATAATTAGGTCTAGTATTTATTAAAAATCTGAAACCCTTAAGATTAATCCTAATTTAGAAAGCCAAGTTTTGACCCCTTAGTTAACGTATCTGGATTATCCTTTAAAATCTATTAACTTCTCAAACCCTTAAAATTCTTTTAATAGGTCATTAAAATTCTCAACCAACCCATTAAAATCAATAATCAACTCCCCTTAATATCAATTCAGTCTTTTAATTCCAACCAATTTAAAAATGACTTAATTAACCCTGATTGCTACTGGGTAACCCAGGCCTATGAGGCTATTAGTTTAGCCCCAAGGAAGGTGAAATAATCTTCACGGCCTCGGTGTGAAACAAAGGTAGTAATCAATTTACTACTAAAATATATTTAATTAAAATTCCTAATCTATTAATATTTAAAGTTTAACTCAAATCTCCCTTCTAGGCCTTAATAAATCTAAAACTTTAGACAACTTTAATAAACGACCTACTTCAGGACCTACCCCAACCACACAACCTTTTTACACACACTTTAGACGATGTGCTAGGATAACCAACTCTAGATCTAGGTTAGGCCGGTGTTTACTTTATTGTTGTGTGCCATATTTTTCGTGGTTTTCACTGCATATTGTAGATGAAATTGCTTTACTGTGTCTGCTTACTTTTCTGTACTCTGTGGATGGACTGGTGTGTTTGGTGGCTATATTACCCTTAGGCTAGGTACGACCTAGGGAAGTCCAGTCTTCTAAAAAATTATTTTATAAGCATGTTTTTAAAAATTCAAGCATATTTGATTTGGAAGTTGTCGACCAGCATGCATTGCATTATATACAAATTAAAAGAGTCAAAATTTTAACTGCATAAGTTTAGCATTTTAGCACCCAACATAAGTAAAGGGGCCAATTAGGGAAAATTTCTAGATGTCGGCCCCAACTTTCCTAAACTTTAATTACAACGTCCCTATCACTCTTTCATAAAAGACCGGATTCATATATTTTAAATCGACTAGGTGGTTAGCTGGCTCCCCAATCCAGGCCAGGGTAAGTCCAGGTTTTGCACTGCATTAGTTAGGTTCGGACGACTGTGGTCCAGCGTTCAAATTAGATTTAGGATCCGGGACAGATCTTTGATTATAAGACCCCAATTTCAGGAATATAGTCCCAAATTTCTAATAAAATACTCAATTCTAATTAAATATCATTTCAATCTAAAATGTAAAGCCCAACACTTAGATTAAGTATGGACACTTCTGGATGGTTCTGGAATCTCAAAGTGTCTCCTACCTCTCTTCCTTTGATTCTGTTAATAACTATTCAATTTTGATCCACTCCCCTTTGATTTTCCAAAAGATTATATTCAATTTTTTTTATATCACACCTAGAAAATCTAACAAAATTTCATTCTTATTTTAATCGAGAGTTTTCGTAGGGGACTCCGTCTCCCTACGATGTAATTATCTACGAGGGCTTGCGCTCGTAGGAGATTTGGAACCCCACACACCTGATTTCAAAATTAATCTTTTTAAAACCCTTTTAGATTTCTTTGGGAAAAGTCAAAGATGATTGCCATTATCATATTAGAAGAATTATCATTTAAAGGTGTCATCTCCCTTTGGGGAGATACATCCTTCTTTGATAAGGCTTTGGATATGAATTCGGCAATCATACTTCTTGAATATCATAACTAGATTATTTAATTGAACTCTACCTCGTCCCCTCGGGGCAGTATGAAGTTCTCTTTAGAGTCTAACTATGATATTCAAAACGAATTACATAATTCTAAGTCTGAACACCGTTATGAAATTTTATTTTCGCCTTTCGAGGTGATATACTTTTCCGAGCGAGTTGATTCGAGTTCTACAATTAGAATTCAATCTCAATTTTAAAATTCCCAAAGGAAACTAATATTTTCAAAACCTGTTTTCAAAATTCCACCAACAGGTCTCTAGCCACTCCTCCAATACCTCCTTTATATGAATGGAATAATGTTGCATCTACAATCACCTTGATCCAATTGGGTGGAGGAGAATACCAACGATTTTCAAACAACAAATGCTGATTGGTACTCAACTGGCCCGTGTTGATATAGTTAGGAGCATTGAGAACTCCTACATAGCTAATAGCCTCGGCAGATATGTAAAATGAACTTCTTTCCTTCTTCCTGTGAACAATTTCATTTCTCTCCTTCCAAGTAAAGTATATGGCATTGTAGAGTAAGCTAGAGAGAAAAACATTCTGTTTAGTCAGCCACTTATACATCTCCTCTTTGTTATTGAAAACAGGTATATGAAAGCCTCTCTTGTTCAGCTGATGTATAACTTCTACAATCTTTTAACATCTACATGTTAAATGATAAATATTTTCTTCCACATAACAGCCTCTAGGACATCTAGTTATCCTTTGAATTCTTCTATAAGATAAAAAAGAATTGGAAGGCAATGCATTATTTAAAACTCTCCACCAGAAGTTTTCTACTCTAGCACTCAATTTAGATTTTTTTAGCCATTTCCATTCAACGTTATTTGTTAAATGATACACTTTGTACCCAGCAGCCATGGAAGTAATTGTTCTTCCAGATTCCATGTGGATGAGATCGAATTTATCTTCAATAAGTTATGGTTTTATTTCAATCTTGAATATTAAGTCCACCAGCTCCTCTCCAAAATATTTATGAAGTTTTGGACTACTCCATTGATTTCCTGAAATAAAATTTTCCACTTTTAAAGAACCAGCCACTTCTTCTTGAGAGTTAACAAATGTAGGCCATGTGCTTAAGCATTTGTCCCAAATCCAGGTGTCTTCAAAAAAATCAATTGACTGACCATTTGCTATATTCCATCTCACAATATGTTTCAAGGATTTACTAACATCTTTAATAATCTTCCGCACCGTAGAATTAGATTATGTTCTGTTCACAGCATCCTAATAGGAATAGTATCTTGGAAACAGAATTTTATGCAATAAAGAGTCTTCTCCTTTCAAGTATTTCCAAGCTAATTTAGCTCTTAGAGGGCCCATTTTATTGGAGCAGGAATGAAACCCTCTACCTCCTTGTTCTACTGGTACACACATTTTTTTCCAGCTAACATAATGCAACCCATGGTCTTCATTAGATTTGTCCTAGATAAAATTCCGGCAAAACTTCTCAAGTTCTCCTAGAACTGCTCTAGGAACTAAAGACACCGTTGAATGGAAAGTTGGAATAGAGAGAATAACAGACTTTACCAATGTGATTTTACCTGCTAATGAAATGAATTTAAGCCCCCAACTATTGAGCTTCTTCAGCACTTTGTCTAACATGAATTGGAAATCCACTCTAGAAAGTCTTCTTAATGCCAATTTAGTTTCCAGATAATTGAACTCTTTAACTTCTTTAAATCCCATGATGCCTTTGATTTTTCTTTTCTTCAAGCTAGAGACAGCTTTCCCAAAAAGAATTCCATATTTGCTTATGTTTACCTTTTGGCCGGTCCAATCACAATATCTTTTGATAATGCCTTTTATAGTTCTCACATTTTTGAAATTTGCTTCGGCAAAGAAGATGATATCATCTGCATAAAGTAGATGTTAAATCCTTGGGCTGTTACTGCTAACTCGAACACCAATTTCTTCCTTCTCCTTAATGGCATTAGAGAGGAGCTGAGAACATAAAATAAAAAGTTAAGGAGACAAGGGGAACCCTTGTCTAAATCCACACCTGCTTTAATCCAATTGGAAGGAATTCCATTAATCAAAATAGAGAAAGAAGGGTTCTGAACACATTCTAATATAAGCTTAGAGAAGAAATCAAGAAATCCAAAATAAGAAAGAATTTTGTGAAGAGTTGGCCACCCCATTGAGTCATACTCCTGTTCCATGTCTAATTTAATAGACGCTAGTCCTTTGGAAGCTTTAAAAAATCTAAATTTGTGGAAATTACTTGAGCAATCAAAATATGATCTTGAAGAGATCTCCCTTTAAGAAAAGCTACTTGTTCAAGGGAAATTAATTTAGGAATGATACCATTTATTCTATTGAAAGAACCTTGGAAGCAACTTTGTACATCGTGTTATAAAGGCTAATAGGCCTATAATTATAAGCATCTTTCGGATTGTTGATCTTGGGAATCAGGAAAATCATAGTTCTCTTCCAATCCTTATTCATCTTAGCCATTTTAAAGAAAATTTTCATAGCTTCCCAGAATTCTATTCTAATAATAGACTTATAGCTTTTAAGAAAAGAATAAGAAATTCCATCTTCACCTGGAGAAGTGAACCCCGTGGTTTCTTTTATGGCCTTTTCTACTTCTTCTATATTGAAATTGTTGTTTAAAAGAGATTTGTCCTCCTCTTCCAGCTGAGCGTGATTATTTGGCCATCCCTCAAGCAAGCATCTTCTCTCACGCCATTTGTCTTTGAAGAAATGTAATAAAACATCTTCAACTTGATTCTTCCTTTCCACCATAATCCCGTTACCATCTTTAATGCAAGAGATGAGATTTAAGTTCTTTCTAGCACTAGCAACTGAATGAAAAAATTTTGAATTTTTATCTCCTTCTCCAATCCATTTTACTTTGGATCATTGTCTCCACCACGAGCATAACCGAGCCAAAGTAGAGCTGAGCTCATTAATTTTGAATTTCAGCAGACAATAATCATCCACAGAAAGCATTCCAACTTCAACTTCCTCAGTTTGTAGAATAAGGATTTCTTCTTTGAGCAAGTCCTTCAACTGATTCAAATCTTTGTGCTTGGCCTTACTCCAATAGAATAAGGATTTAAGAGACCTTTTTAACTTGAAATTAAGAATTTGAGCTGGAGATCTAGAATCTTTTTTCCTCCAAGCTTTGTAAGAAGCCCACACATCCTTGAATTTGATAGATTTATTAACTTTAGAAGAAAAATCTGAAGTATTAAGGAGGATGGGATAGTGATCAGATGCAATTCTGGGGAGATGCTTTACAATCAATTGCTTGTTATAGTTCATAGAAATAGAGTTTACCACCATACGATCTAGTCTTTCCATTATCCGATCAGACCCTTTCTTTTTATTGCTCCAGGTTAGCCTAGGACCAATGAAGCTAAGTTCATGAAGGTCATTGGAAGTCATAAAATATTTCATTTCCTTAGTCCCCAAAGAAAAAGAAAACCTCCTACAACCTTTCTTGCCTTCTTTAGCCAAAAGACAATTGAAGTCTCCACCAATCACCATAGGCCAATTATTGGTGATATGAGGTTCCAATCCATTCCAAAGAAGTCTTCTATTATAAACATCTTTGCTACCATAAATTGTAGCTATCCTCCATTTCCCCTTGTTAAGGATATCCAAATTGCCAATAATGAATTCAGAAGAAGACTCTATCATGTTGAAGTTAGCAAGGCTACTCCTCCAAAGTACAAGTATGCCTCCTGATAAACCAGTTGACGAAACATAATTATAATTCCAACCAGTGCCATTCAATGACTCCACATATTTTTGCTCAATAGAGACCAATTTTGTCTCCAATAGCCCAACAAAAAGAACATTGTGATCTTTCACCACCTCCTTAAGGTAGAGAGAAGCCTTCTTCTTCTTGTCTCCTCTACAATTCCAAACTAAAATGGAATTCATTTATGGATCAGTGGGGAAGAATTCCCCCCTTTCTCCTTAGCATCTCCATCAGTTTTTTTGCTCCTTTTCTTCAAGCTGATTGGTCCTAGATTTTTTAACTGTTTCACACCTTTCTTTTTTACTGTAGAAGAGATATCTTCATTTGCTTCAAAATCTACATCAATTTAATGTATCTTCCTGTATACCTTCCTGTATAATTGGCTATAAATCCTCTTCAACTATTTCACCTTCCTCTGCTAAATTTCCCAATGCTTCAAATTTGTTTTTTATTTCCGGAATTTTTTCAGTGGTAGCATTTTTTGCAGATCCCTCTTCTGTCTTTCTTCTGATTTCAACTTCAGCATTGTAGAAATCTTCTTTTTAAGTAGTTTCTTTCTTCCCATCTTTTACATCCTGATTCAATCCGATTGGATCAGTTAAGACTTGTTTTAGCATATTTTTTCCAGCAATTATTCCAATAGCATTAGTACTACGCAGTTTAATAGCATCCTTGGTTCTTCCCTCTAGATTTGATTTGGACTTTATTATTTCCCCTCTTTTTTGAACGGATCTAGGAAAATTTTCTATTTTATAATCCACATGAATCCATGGACCATAACCTTCTTCTTTGTCATCATCATTAGAAACTAGAGTTTGAAGATTTGTAGTTGTATCTATAGCTCCCATTTTGTCTTCACTGATTTGAACTTCAATTCCCTGCTTAATCTTTTTTGAAGTTGATTTCTTTAAGAATTCCTCCCTAAGGTGACCAAGCTTGCCACAGTTACAGCAAAAAGAAGGCAACCTTTTATACTCAATGTTCTGATAGAATTTCCCTAGTTCTCCTTCAAGCAAAACACCCAAGGGAAGTTTCTCATCAAGTTTGACTCTCACACAAACCCTTGCGAACTCTCTTCTACTCCACTGGAACATGTTCCCATCAATCAAGTACGGAGTCACCACCATGGAAGCAATTCTACAAACATTTACTTCATCCCAACATTGAAGTGGAGGATTTGGCATCCGGATCCAAATTGGGGCTGTAAGGCCTTTGAATGAAGAATGAGAAAAAGCTGCTGTCCACCTGTCCATTCCCACTATGTTACCATTTCCATACCAAGGACCTGAAGCAATTATTTCCTCCAAAGAGTCTTGTTCCTCAAAGGCACAAAGCATCCATCCTAGTCCCAATTGAGTTGAATGGAATTTACCAATCCTGGACCATTGCTTTTTTAATTCAACACTTATGACATTGAAAGGGATATAATTGCCAAAGACTTCACCACTATGGAGATTTACTTCATGTATACTGAGTGCCTTCGATTGATAATCTTCCATAAGGACATGTTTACCTTTGCCAATGCAATCAACATTTTTCTTCTTAGCTACTATTACTCTTTCCTTGATAACCAGAGGCCGTTCTTTGTTGAACCAGAACATATTTTCTTTCTCACGACCATTGTCTCTGAAAGCCGGTGGGGATGAGTCGAATTGATGGGAGATCTTCCATGATGATGGAGAAGGGGGGCGGAGGTTAACTGAGACTACAGGAGCCATAGTCCGGCGATCCTCTGACACCATTAGCGTCAAGCAGAAAACCAATGAAGAGGGAATTCAAAAAATCATCTTCAAACAGAATTAATGGAGATTCTCTCTCTTCATAGAAATAAATTATTTGGCATCATGATGCTACATGGGTTAATGTTGAAGAGTTATTGGATGACTATGGCACGCCAAGAGAGGGGGGCGGGGGGTAAATTGGGGTTTTTTTTAATTTTATTAAAAGAAGAAACTTAAAATAATTTTAAAGCTATTTTGAAAATAATAAGAAATCACACAATTTTTATGAAAAAGATAAATAAAAATAGATGCATGAAATGAAAATAAGAGGCACAATATTTTATGTGGTTCGGCCTGGATTCCAATCCGACCTACATCCACGCTAGATAACTCTTTGGCTAGAATTCACTAATCCTAGGTTTGCTTTGAAAACCTCACTTTTTTAAACCAAAGAATTTCTTTACAACCTAAGTACTCTCCTATATGGGCATGTACAACCCAATCTAATTATTATTAAAACTTCACTAAGCCAAATGGCTCATATCAAGAAAATGAAATATACAATTTGATGTAAATAATACAGGCTCAAATTATCTTGAAATAAAATATCATGATTATTTGAGGTGATCTTGTAAATTAATTTTAATCACCTCACTACTTGCAAATGGAATATTAAATTTGCTCACATTAAGATATATTTATATTTTGATAAAAATATGAATAATATTTTAAAAAATATATTTTCTTTCTAATTTTAACTTTAACTCTTCAAATAAAAAAAATGAATCAAATTTTAAATGTAAATCTATGCCACATTAAACAAAATAGAAATATTTGATTTGCTAACTTTATGGATTTAAAAAAATTAGTATAGAAAACTTAATAGAAAATTACCAAATAGTAGGTCACCAAATAATAAATATTTTTAAGAATGAAATAAATGGTGAAAGCAAAAAGAATAACAAATAAAGATTTTGTGAAGGAAAGCAAAGTCATGAACTCCAAGAGATGTTATTCGGTTTTGTGTGTTGAAGCTTTCCAACCAAGAATTTAATCTCGCAAATTAAAAGATCTCTTAAAATAAAAATCAAAGTTTCTCCACTTAAGATTTATCATTTAAAGAAGAAAGGAAGAATTGAAGAATTGCTGGATATTTCTTTTTTGAGCAGCCCTTACATGAAGAGGAAAAGAGCTATTTAAAGGGAAAGGGTAAGTAAAGCTAAATTTGAATAAAACTATGAAACTAATATTAATTTATCAACTAATAATATTATATTTGATTATGAATTTATTTATATTAAATATATATAAGATTCAAATGGCAATAAAATGGCTAGCCACATGAGAAAGTCAAAAAGTATTCATATACATCCAAAATAAGGCAAAAAAGGCTACCAGAAAATTATATTAACATTAGATAATGTTTGGAAATTCATTATAAATTTAAATGATATGAAAATGGGTCATATAACCTATCAATTTTAATCTACAAAATCCAAGTAATCGAAAGCAATAAAAATTAAAGCACATTTCTGTTAAAATAATATCATATTCAGTAAAATAATAACTTAAACACATTTTTAAATATTTAAAAATATATTTATTTTTAATATACCAATATGATGTAATTTATATAAAATTAATCATATATCAATAAATTGATGTGAAATAAGTTAATTTAAAATGAATAAATAAAAAAAGTTTTAACACTTAAGTTTATTATCTTTAATTTCCCTAATTACATAACTTTTCATATTTGATAATAATTATATAATAAATGATGGTTATAATTTTTTTTAAATAAAGAAATCTTATAAATTTCTATATAAAAATTAGTATATAATTAATATATATTTAGATTATGAGAAAATCAAATCATGCAAGTAAATATTAATGGGCCACTAACATACTCCTATGATAATATAAAGTCCTTCAAGTTATCCATCTTGGTCCATCTTAATCTCAACATTTGATTGACCTTAAGTTATGCAATGTAAATCCCATAAGTACTTACTATGCATATCATTACACTGAAATACTTAGTACACAGATTAGAACATCCATTCATATGTCTGTTATCATCAAAATCTATAAAATAGGTCATGAGATAGATAATATCAACAATCTACATCTTCTTTATATTGACAAACTTATGTTAAGTATAGTTATAACAAAGGTGCAAATTGACTTTTTGTCATAACTTTTAAGCATTATAAAAATATATATGATAATTGAGAAATATTTTTGAATGCTAATTTTCTAAAAAAAATAATTCTCCCATAAATATATGCATGTAAAATGAATTATGACCAACTTATATAGTTCTTCTCCACCTTTGACAACATCAAAAAGAATAATTAAAAATATAAAAGAAATTTAAATGTTAGGATCTAACATCTCAAGCATACGTCTTAATATGCAAAATCTCTCTTCAGCTAAGGTTTTATAAATATATCATCTATTTGAGAATCTGTGTTTACAAAATCTATATTAACATCACCATTATTAACATGATCTCTAACAACATGTTGTCTAATCCCTATGTGTTTAGTTTATGAATTTCGGATAGGATTTTTTTTTGAACTTATAGCACTTGTATTGTAACATTTAATGGGAATATTTTTAAGCTTTATTCCAAAATTATCTATTTGTTTCTTTAGCCATAAAACTTGAGCAACACAACTATCTGCGACTATGTACTCTACTTCAGCAGTGGATTAAGTGATTGAAGTTTATTTTCTATAAAACCAAGAAATAAGCGATGATCTTAAAAATTGATAGGTTATAGATGTACTTTTTCTATCAACCATACAAGCAGTATAGTCTACATCTGAATATGTTACTAATTTAGATGATAATAAATTTTTGGGATACCATAAGCCAAACATCTGAGTTCTAATCAAATAGCAAAATATTCTTTTAATTGTTGTTAAGTGTGATTTCTTAGGATTAGCTTGAAATCCTATACATAAACATATAACAAACATAATATCAGGCGAAGTAGCAGTAAGATACAAAAGTGAACCTATCATACTCCTATAAATTTTTTGATATATTAGTTTTCTTGATTCATCTAAATCAAGTCTAATTGATGGGCTTATAAAAGTTGTACTTAATTAAAATCTCTTCATATAAAACTTTTATAATAATTCATTTATGTACTTGTTTGACATATGAATGTGCCAAACTCTATTTGTTTTACTTAAAGACCTAAGAAAAAGGTGAGTTCCCCCATCATACTCATTTCAAATTCCTTTGACATTAATGAGGAAAACTCATGACACAAACTTTGATTTGTACTTCCAGATAATATATTATCAACATAAATCTGTATAATAATCAAATAATCTCCAATATTTTTATAAAAAGAGTTGTATCTACCATACCTTTTTTAAAATTATGTTCAATTAAAAAATTACTTAACATATCATACCAAGCACGTGGAGCCTATTTTAAACCTT